CTCCTCGGCGCCTCATTTACCAGGTTTCCAACCTGCAGTCAGGAGTCTTCAATCACAAAGCTATTAATCCTACCTTGGGAGATTCCAATCAAGACTAAATCAGATCCATATTTGTCAAGGGCCAGCTCTGAGGAGTCCAATTTGGGTTGAAGAATCCAGGACAAAGTTTAACTCCTGTCTGTCCTCACCCTCAAGAGCTCACATACTCAGGATGTTGGCTCCCCATTCTCCCATACAATTAAGGAGCTTCTGAAACAAACTGCATAACCGTGACACAATAGAAATTATGCACGAGGGATAGCGTTTGGCAAACATAGGGGAACTAATCATGTACTTTGAGACAAGAACCTGGGACAGCCCTGAGAATGATTGTTCAGGCCAATTACCACCAATTCAGGCAGTTATCACTAAGCTGCCCCATGAGTAATTTCTTTCTTTCTTTCTTTCTTTTTTAGGCAGTTGGGGTTAAGTGACTTGCCCAGAGTCATACAGCTAGTAAGTATCAAGCCTTTGGTCTGAGGCCAGATTTGAAGTCAGGTACTCCTGACTGCAGAGCCAGTGCTCTATTCACTGCACCACCTAGCTGCCCCCTCCCCAACGGTAATTTCTGAATCAACTGCCTGAGCTGACATTTAACAGAACATAGACTTGTTTGAGAGAAACAAAGAATGAGGAAAGAAAGGAAGGAAGAAAAGATAGAGGGAGAAAAGAGATGATGAGAAGTAAACAAACATTTATGGAGGACCTACTGTGTGTCAGGCACTCTGCTGAGGAGTTTCCAAATGCTATCTCATTTGATCTTCACAACAACTATAGGAGGCAGGTGTTATTATTATCCCCACTTTATATCGGAGGAAACTGAGGCAGACAGCGGTAAAGTGATTCACCCAGGATCACGTAAATGGTAAGCATCTAAAGTCAGATTTGAGTTCAGCTCTCTCTGACTATAGGCCAGCACTCTATCCACTGTACCACCTCAGTGACTCTAGAACAAAAAGAAAAGAAAATCAATACCTAATTTTAAAAACAATTGAATTAGTTTATATGAAATACATTGAAAATAGCTCAAACTTTATATATTTAAGCAATCTGTTGATGGGAAAAAATGAAAAATAGTTAAAGTCATGGACTAATTCCATGACCTATGGAAATGTAAGCAAAGTAAAGCAATCATCAAGTAGGGCCAAAGGGTCTTGAAAAAAACCATCTCGTCTCCCCAGTACTTGATTTCCTTGACAAAGAACCAGCAATGGTCCACCAAGGCTAACTCTGGTGTACAGAAGGCCATGAGAAAATTTGTATAATATTTTATATGGGCAGATTATAAACCATATTATCACACAAAATATTGATGAGTATTGAAGGGGAAAATAGTTTTACTCACGTAAGACCCAATTAATCCATGTCATTTCAAGGGATGAAACTGGAGAGCTAGAAATGGAAAGTCTGCCAAGGTATTTGCCAGAAATGATTTTCTTCATCACTGACAGTAGAGCTGCCACAATGGGCTTGTGTTCTCACTGTCCTCATTCGAGGCACGAGGAAGGAGAATTACTAAGAAAACAATCACGAAGAGAGCAGCGGGAGCAGACCAAGGATGGACAAAGGAGATCTCCACTGAAGGCAACACAGTTTAAGGACTGTTAGGGAGGGAGTCTCAAGATGTCTAAAGGAGGGCAAGATTCTGAACAATTAGAAGAAATCATGGACACTCTTGCTGCTGAAAACCATAGTGAGATGATATCTCTAACCAGTGACACCAGTGCTTTCTATTACCTCTCTTAAATCTTTATGAAAATAATTGACATCTATATTGAGGCCATACTTGATGAAGGTATGAGCATTGAATAGTCTTTCTCAAATGGTATCACATTTTTACAGTCTCACAGCTGACTGAAAGGAGCATAAAATAGAAGCTCTCAATGTTATTATTCTTTGTACTTGACTCTACAAAAGCACTTGAGTCATTCGACATGCTTATGTCACAACCACGCAAGATTCCTTGACAGACACAATGAAATAAGTTCAGCTTGGGGAAGAAAGTCTTTTTCCAATAAATCTGTGCCCCCCTCTCATGCAGATTTACCTAGCACAATTGGAGAAAGTGCACTCACATAGGAAGCTCACATGAAAGGTTGTATGCATGTGCACACGTACACACACAACCACACATACCCACTCATGCACACACATGTACACTTACACATTATTTGTGGTCCAAGCATCATGCAGAGGCATTTCTCAAAGACAAGTAGGTAACAGGCAAACTATGGAAGGGCATCCACATGGGACGCACATGTGGCTGTGGTCTATACAGAAATGGGTAATTCACACCTCCAACTCTCCAGAAACACTGGCATTTTCTGGTGATTCTACTTATTCCTGTATATCTCCCCATTGTTCTCATAGTCTCTACTGGACCTTGTTCGGTCAAATACATTGACTGAGCTGGAAGAATAACCTCTCCAGAAGTCGCTCTCCTGCACACTCTGTTGCCTCCAATTCCTGACTCAGCTGCAAACTGATCTCTTGCTCAAGAGAAAAGCAGGTGTTTCCACCCTCTTTCTAATTAAAGCCCGTAGGCTTTCTCTGGCACTTTCAGAAAAGGCAACAGCTCTCACCTCAGACCAGCAGAAATCATCCCCTTGGATGAAACTGTGTTCTTCCTCCAAGTGTGTCTCATCTCCTCAATAGAAAATTCTTAGTCCCACTGTATGTATTTGCTCCAGCAATAGGTTATTAGTGCTGACCTCATGTCTGCAAATGGGAGATGGAGACCAGGGATAGACATACCCATTGTTTTACCCAGGAAAACAGTAGTTTCTATAGCAAGAGGTCCTCAATATGGATATCTCAGGCCCTCTCCCATTCAGGGGAGAAGTAGTGACACAGAATTAAAAACAAAACCCAGAAACCTACAAAGAGTGACCTCTTGTCTCCCTTAACAGCACCCCAGGCCTCTGGGCTTAGAGCTCTCCTTAATAACTTCAGAAATCTAGTCTTCCTGAAAGGACAAAGAGCAGACATTCCTGTTGATCCATCATGAGCTGTGGCAATCATTCTTATATCAGAAACAAGGCACACATACATCTATGAAGAAGGCACAAACACACAAGATCACAATATCAAATAGATAAAATAGAGATTCTCACAATGCATGGTTTTAGCCTTGTCTTAGCCTGGCATCAGCTGTCCATGAGCTGAAACCTGTGACCTAGGGCTTCTTTTGCATAATAATACCCAAAGGACCTATCACAGTGACTGCTCTGGATACAAATATCTTTCTGCCTCCATCTATCTCACTCTGAGCTCAGAGATCACCTGCAGGTGTTCAGGAAACAGAATGATGTCTCTGCTCCATCTTCTCTGGCCACTGGTGCTCTGGGCTCAGGGCAAGACATACCAAAAAGGCAGATAGTTTTCAGGAGATCCCATGAGAAGGGTTAAGGTTGCTGTGACCCTTTCTCTAGAAGAGATAAGGACTCAGCCCCAGCACTGGCTGATAGGTTCTTCCAGGCAAAACTGGGATCTGGTTTGCAGAAACTGTACCGTTTCTCTGAAACATGTAGAGGAGTATCTCACTTTTATAGCCAATTAAGTTGATCTGGGGCTTCCTGGATTTAAACACATGTATAATTACATAATATTTGATTGGGATGTCCATGTATTTCTACATTTATCTAAATTTTTTCCTTTCAGATTCCTATGGAGATGTTGTGCTGACACAATCTCCAGCCTCCCTGTTTGTGTCTCCAGGAGACAGAGTCACCATGAACTGCTTGGCCAGTGAGAGGATCACAGATAGTGATGGTGATGACCTCTTACACTGGTACCAGCAGAAGCCTGGCCAAGCCCCCAGGCTCCTCATCTACTGGGCCACCAGGCTGGAGTCTGGAGTACCTGCCCGGTTCAGTGGCAGTAGATCAGGGACAGATTTCACTCTCACCATCAGTAGTGTGGAAGCTGAGGATGCTGCAGTCTATTACTGTCAGCAAGGTCTTAAGGTTCCTCCCACAGTGATATATTCTCGAACAAAAACCTTCCCAGGCTCAGGCCTGGTGATCAAGGAGGCTACAGTGCCCCAGATACTTCTCCTTCCCCAGAACCTGCTGTGGGGGCTACACACATATGGCCTCTCTGCCTCTCTTGGGCATTCACTGAGAGCTTCTAGGCTGTCCAGTGTTCCATGATAAGAGCCAATTTGGAATTATATGAGGAAAGTCTGGCACATAGTAGGTACTTAAATGCTTGTGGACTAATTGAGGTCTGTCTTTTTACCTTTTGACCAAAGATTCCACAACTAGACACCTAAGGAATTCAGTTCATCAATTAATCAACAATCATCAATTTAGTGCTTACCATGTGGCAGGAACTTTGCTAAGCACTGGATTATAAAGAAAAACACTCCCTGCTCCCCAGAAGCTTAGGTTCTAAAAGAGCAGATAACAAGTATTTTATCAATACATACAAGTTACATGGGGAGCATATCAAAGATAACAGAGGGGATGGCATGAACATTGTTACACATAACATGTTTTAGGTTATTTTTCTTTTCTTTTCTTTTCTTCCTATGAGGCAATGGGATTAAGTGACTTGTCCAGAGTCACACAGCTAGTGAGTGTTATGTGTCTGAGGCCAGATTTGAACTCAGATCCTCCTGACTCCAAGGCCAGTGCTCTATCCACTGCACCACCTAGGTGCCCCCAGACATAACATGTTTTTATATGTTACTGGGGAAAAATAAAATACTAAACAAAATATAAAAGAAGGCCTGGGTGTCTAATTATGTTTTTTTAAATGAAACTTAAATTTGCCACAGTTTTATAACTCAGTTTTCAACCCTTTTTAAAAATCTAAAGTAGGAATCTTCACTGCCATTGATTTCCGATTAAACACCAGGCTTAAAGATGAGACCTTCATCAGAGCAACTGTGAAAAATCAAATAGAGGCCAGAGAGTACACTACATAGCTAGGAGGATAGAACGCTTCCGTAGGTGTCTGAAAGAACTGAGTTCAAATCCAACCTCAGATACCTATTTGCTTTGTGACTCTGGCCAAGTCAATTAATTGTTGTCTGCTTCAGTTTCCTTCTCTGTAAAATGGGGATAAAAATAGGACTTATTTCCCAGGGTTGTTGTGAGGATCAAATGAGCTAATATTTGTAGAACATTTATGCAGTAAGCATTCAATAAATGCTTGTTTCCTTCCTTCCATATTCTGAAATACACACATCTCTCTTTCATAACTAATAGGGAACTTTCAGTCCTTTCAAACCTCTTTACACTCATCCCCATTTACTTAATCTCAAAACCCCATAATGTCAGACTAACATGCCGGAACCATTTGGCATCAAAATCCTGATACTTCATTCTTCAGCTGAGGCCTTTAACTTACAATCTTTAGATGAGTTACAAATCATATCATTTAGCACCTGAAGGGGAAGAATGAGACTGATGCCATCTTGGAGAAAATTTCACAATTAGAACTGATACAATAAGCACACTCTCGTGAAGCCAAAGTTTGAGAATTTAAACATAGAAACCACTGGATGGTATAATCTCCTTGACATTCTTCACTCCTGCTTAATCCATTCTCCCTTTCCCCCTATATGAGTGAAAAGCTCTATGTGCCATGTATAATGCAATCAGTGTTCAAAGTGATCTGACCCTGTTTCTTCATATTCAAACAATTGAAATCTCCTGGCTCATGTAACTTTTAGTCAGCTTGATTTGGGTAGGGGGGAAGAATACTTAATTATAAACTGACTTGTTTATCCCCCAGGTGTGAGGCTGGCTGCACCTGCTGCTCTTGGACCTCACTCCCCTCCCACACCACAAGACAGACCTCTCTTGCTAGGCGGGTAAACTGCTTCACTGTTCCTAGATAATTTCTGAGGCAGTTTTCTAATTGTTTGGAGGGAAATTTGGGAGGCTTCAGAGAGTTCCTTCCTCACTCTGCCATCTTGGCACCAGAAGTCTTTGGGGAATTTTGAAGAAATCATAGACAACATGCAAAGGCCAGCAGATGACCCAGAAAAAGTTTAGAAACTCAGAAATACATAGAATAAGTATATAATATTGTATAATACCAATATATTTTATCTTTTAATACCATTGCAATTCAGACTTCGTCTCTGCTAAGAAGGAAGGGCCTAACATTTTTTCCTCGGATTTTTCAGATTTCTGGGGAGCCCCCACCCCTAAGCCCCCAGTGCAGAATGGATAACTGTACTTCACAAGTTCACATCCATGCAACACTAGTTTTAGACAACCTTTTGATTTTTCACAGCAATCTTGTGAACTAGGAACTATCATATCTACTCTAGTTCCTAGAGTAAGAACATGTTCCTTCTTTTTGCAATTACCATTACTACACATTCTCCCTAGGGCCTTTTCTTTGGTGTAGAGGCAGCCCAGTCCAATCTAAAAAAAAAAAAAAAATAAACAGTCTATATGGACAAGAGCCAGGGAACCAGAGTAAGCAGATACCAAGACTCCTTCTTTCTGATGCTCTTGTCACCCTCTGGGATCCCCAAAGAGGTCACAGGTTCAGTTAGGGCCAAGCAAGTTTGAAACTGGCAACACTTCAGATGAGGGCTTTTGATGAGTGGTGTAAGTAAAGGGGATTATGTTATTCTGTTTTAGACAATAGGACCCATCATCCTTGGCCAAAATAGGCAATAATTCCCAAGATCATGTGTGTAAACAGTTTCCATTGTGACTGCATGGGGAGATTTAGGGGCAAAGCAAGTAAGAGAAGTAGAGGAAAAACTGAAAAGAGAAATGAGAGTGATGCAAAAAAATCATCAAAAACAAGTCGACTGCTTGCTAAAGGAAATCCAAAAAATGCTGAAGAAAATAACACCTTAAAAAATAGACTAAATCAAATGGCAAAAGAGGTCCAAAAAGCCAATGAGGAGAAGAATGCCTTCAAAAGCAGAATTGGCCAAATGGAAAAGGAAGTCCAAAAGCTCGCTGAAGCAAATAATTCCTTAAAAATTAGTATAGAGCAAATGGAAGCTAATGACTTTATGAGAAATCAAGAAATTATAAAACAAACCCAAAAGAATGAAAAAAATAGAAGACAATGTGAAATATCTCATTGGAAAAACAACTGACCTGGAAAATAGATCCAGGAGAGATAATTTAAAAATTATTGGACTATCTGAAAGCCATGATTAAAACAAGAACCTAGACATCATCTTTCAAGAAATTATCAAGGAAAACTGCCCTGATATTCTAGGAGCAGAGGGTAAAATAGAAATGGAAAGAATCCACCCATCACCTCCTGAAAGAGATTCACAAAAGAAAATTCCTAGGAATATTATAGCCAAATTCCAGAGTTCCCAGGTCAAGGAGAAAATATTGCAAGCAGCCAGAAAGAAACAATTCAAGTATTATGGAACCACAATCAAGATAACACAAGATTTTGCAGCTTCCACATTAAGGGATCAGAAGGCTTGGAATATGATATTCTGGAGGTCAACAGAATTAGGATTGCACCAAGAATTACCTACCCAGCAAAACAGGAGGAATAATCCTCCAGGCGGGGAAATGGACATTCAGTGAAAAAAGGGATTTCAAGCATTCTTGATGAAAAGACCAGAGCTGAATAGAAAATTTGACTTTCAAATACAGGACTCAAGAGAAGCATGAAAAGGTAAATAGGAAAGAGAAATCATAAGGGACTTATTAAAGTTGAACTGTTTATATTCCTACATGGAAAGATGATATATGTAACTTATGAGACCTTTCTCAGTATTAGGGTAATTGGAGGGAAATTAAAATTAAAGGGTAAGAGAGAGGATTGTACTGGGAGAAGGAGAAAGGGAGAGGTAGAATGGGATAAATTATGTCACATAAAACAGACAAGAAAAAGCTTTTACAGTGAAGGGGAAGTGGGGAAGGTGAGAGGGAATGAGTGAATCTTACTCTCATCAGATTTGGCTTAGGCAGGGAATAACATACACACTCAGTTGGGTATGGAAGCCTCTCTTACCCTTCAGGAAAGTAGGGGGGAAGGTGATAAGAGAGGGGCAGATGATAGAAGGAATGGCAAATTGGGAGAGCAGATAATCAGAAGCAAATGCTTTTGAGGAGGGACAAGGTCAAAGGAGAGAATAGAATAAATGGGGGGGATAGGATGAAAGGAAATATACTTAGTTTTTCCACAACATGACTATTATGGAAGTGTTTTTCATGACTACACATGTATAATCTGTATTGAGTTGCTTGTCTTCTCAATGAGAGTGGGTAGACAGGGAGGATAGGAAAGAATATGGAACCCAAAGTTTTAAAAACAAATGTTAAAATTATTTTTACATGAAACTGGGAAATAAGATACACAGGCAATGGGGTATAGAAATCTATCCTGCCCTAAAGGAAAATAAAAGGGAAGGGGATAAGAAAAGGGGGGGAAGTGATAGAAGGGAGGGCATGCATGCCCTCTTGGGGTGGGGGTAGGGGGGACATGGTTAGAAAATTTAGAACTCAAAATCTTGTCCTTAAGGCAGTGCTTGACACATAGTAAGTGCATGATAAATGCTTATTGACTTGAATATATATATGTATATATATATATATACATATATATATATGTAATCCTACAATATGATGTTTACAAGAAATACACGTGAAGCAGAGGGATACACCCAGAGTGAAGGTAAAAGGTTGAGGAAGAAAATGTGCTTCAGCTGAAGCAAAAACAAACAAACAAAAAATACAAGGGTAGCAATACTGATCTCAGACAAAGCAAAAGCAAAAATAGATCTAATTAAAAGAGATGAGGAAGGAAACTACATAGTGCTAAAAGTTGCCGTAAACAATGAAGTAATAAAATATAAAATAAAATAAAATATTTGTTAGTCTACCTGCCAAAACAAACTCAGATGGCTTTAATTTCTGGGACCCAGGAACCCAGGAACCATATGAACACAGTTACAAAACACTTTTCACACAAATAAAGTCAGATGTAAATATTTGGGAAAATATCAGTTGCTCATGGGTAGGCTGACCAAATATGATAAAAAAATTACATTTCTACCTAAATTAATTCACTCATTCAGTGCCATATCAACCAAACTACCACAAAAATTATTTTATAGAGCTAGAA